CACATTCAAAACTACACATAGTAAAGCGCGAACAGGGAAACGTGCGTTGAACTCTTGAGCAATTACAAAGATTAAAGACTTGCATGGATATTCAAATGAAAGTAAGACTCAAACGATACTTGAGCAAAAAATGTGTCTTTATTTACAAGAACGTGACAAAACGGTAAAAGTTCAAAATAGGAAAAAGAAAAGAAAAGATAAAATACAGCGCCTCCAGAACCATGAGGAAGAGAAGTATCCGCACTCCCGGGAGAAGTAGGTGGGTCCATCGATGGCTCGACGTTTTCCCCAGTTTGGTCTTCAGCATCATCACCTTCCAATCCCTCTTCAGTTTCCGAAAACTCTAAACCGGAACCAGAAGAACCAGGAGCATCAGACTGCGTGGGGAGTCCATTTTTAGCAGCTAACTCAAGCTCTCGGGCCTTAGCAGATTCGGCATCAAAGTCGATGATACCAGTTTTGGCCTCCTACAAGGTTTTTTTCCTCATGTTGTACATGTCATAAGTTTTTTCAGCAACGAGGGAAGTTCTTTGGCGCTTAAGTTCTTCTTTAATTTGGGTAACCTTGGCAGAAATGTTTTCCCGGGCGGACCTAATAGATTTGAGGCTGACGTCAAGGTCGCAGATAGTTGAACTAAAGAGCCTATTATGCTCGATAGTTTTCTTGTACTTCTATTCTATCTGGGCGTGTTTCTCCCCCACAACAGCAAGCTCTTCGAGTTTGGAGTTGCTTCTAAGTTAGTCATATTTTCGGCAGTAGTAGCCTCGTGCTCGGTTGCAGCAAGAACGACGTCCTGGACTTCAGCCCTTTTAGCCTTAGCTTCATCAAATCTAACCCTCATAGGACCAATTTCTTGGCTAAGGGTTACCACTTCTTGCTCGCTTTGCTGCAAATAAGCCTCCAAAACAACGACCTCAGAAGCTTTGGTTTCCAGTTCCGAGAGGTGGAGAGCAGTTTGGTCTCGTTCCACCAAAAGCCGATTCCGTTCAGATGTAAGTTCTTCCATCTCACGAATAAACCTTTGAATGCCCTTAGAAGCAAGAAAGTTGGCCTATAAAACAAGAAGAAGTAAAACTTAGAATACATTCATACAAAAGTAAAAAAAGTAATGAAGAAAGAAAAGAACGTACCGTTGCGGCGTTATGCATGACATTGTTCCACAAACACTCTCTCGAGAGTGCCTGAATTTTTTTGCAGTCTTTTTCTGAAGCCAAGGGCTTCAGATAATTAGCAAGCTTCATCGGTCGGGATAGCAAGTTGCATCCGGTAGAGACCGAAAGAGTAACGTTCCTTCTCCTTTGTGTATCTTCAGAAGGGACAACATAATTTTGCCCCAAATTCCCATGAACTGGGGACTGTGGAAGAGGAACATTTTTCTTCATGGTCAGATGCGGCCGATGTAGGTGATGTAGCAATTGTTGGTGGAAGAGTGGATGAATATGGAAGTGATGTAGCAGTTGCTAGTGTTGGTAAAGGTGGAGATGAAGCTGATAGAGTTGAAGAATGAGAACTAGCTGCAACAAATGCAAATGCTAGCTGTTGGATGCTCGCCAACCAAAGATGGCAAGGAATCAGTACTCAGCCCCGCAGCATCGGATACAACAATTGGGGCCCGAAAATGAGAGTTGGCATTTTCTACCAAATCATATTCTCCCCAAAGTGCCAAAACATCGTCTTCAGTTGGTGTAACTATCTCAACAGATCGAGCATCCTGTTGAGATGATGAGAATCGTCGCCTTCTATGTAGAGAAGCTCCCTTATCACTAGCTTCTTCTTCATCATCAATCATCACCGTGTCTATGACCGGCCCGGAAGGAGGACCAGTTGTCATCGCCACCAGAGATGGCTCGGGGCATCAGTCTTTGCCCTCTTATTCTTCTCCCCGACCGCGGAGGAACGTCTTCTCTTTAGTTGCTTATTCACTGTTGGGGACTCCGTAAAGAAGTGTTTGTGCCCGAAACAGGCCCAGAGATACCTGTTTGAGTAAGTGTTTCCTGAAGCAACCTCGCTGCCGTTAGCAAGATCAACCAAAACGTCCTCATCGGGGACAGCAACAGAGCCCGCAGGTAGACCTAATTTCGTGAACAAGTCAGGAGGGTTCAACCAAGTTCTTTATATACAAAAAATGGAAATAAGGCAAATTAAAATTACCATAATATTTGGCCTTCTACCCGTATTTAAGGTCCAGTTCTTTCCACAAACGAGTTTCGTGCATCGTGAAGTCCAAGATCTTCTGAACCCACCGGTCCAAACCTTCCACCACCGGTGGGATCCATCGAATTGCTGAAACGTGCGAAGGGTGAAGAGTTGATACGGCCATAAAAGAATATCTAGTAAAAAGAAATACTAGACAAAAAGCTTACGAGTGCGGTTCCAAGCGACTGGAAAGAATGAAGCCGTTGTCGGAATGATGTCATTGGTGGCGACTGCAACGAACCATTCCATCCATCCATAGTCGTTGTCATCGTCCATGCTAGACAGCAAAGCATGGTGGCCACGCTTGCAGATGTTTATCAGTCTCCCGCGAAAGATTTTGGGAGAATAGAGATTCATCATATGAGCTAAGGTTAGTTCCTCTCCAGTTTTCTGGCACAAGCATTGAAGACATGTGACCGTCCTCCACACTGAAGGACTTACTTGTGCCAAACACACTTGGTAGTGAAGGCAAAACTCCGCAATCACAGAATCATGCTCTTCACTCAAATAAAACACACCCAAAGTAAAATTATACTTGTAAAAGTATGTAAAATCTTCCTTGGGAAGGGTCACTCATTCCGATAGATCAGGAGCAATGATAACCAACTCATGGCAGCGGCAGTCTTCCTTCACAGCAGGAATACTGGCAGGACGAATGGAAGAAGGGTACCTACTAATAGCCCATGTACGAGGGTTAGTAGTAGAAAATTTCTCTTCAAGGTCCTTTGAGGTACCGAATTTTCTTGGGATGATGAAACCAACTGTTGGAGGAGCAGAGTCCTCGACTTTATTCTTGTTCTTTGAAGAACCAACATGCTTGGAGAAAGAAGCCATTGAATAAGAAGAAGGAAAAGGTTTTGTGTTTGAAAAGAATTAGAGAAGGGATGGAAAACAAAGATGCAAATCAAGAGCTCGACAAATTATGAAACGCAAAGGAAAAGAATAATGCATAAAAGTAAAATTTTAGCGGCTAAATTCATGGCCATGATTACCTCGATAATCGGCAAAAGTTGTGCTGAATCATGGGATGACGCGTGTTCGGGGTATTCAATACTGAGAGACGTGCGTCTAATCAACTGTCAGGAACCTTCATAGGGAGTTATAGTAATTCCCGACAAAAAAGTATTTCTACCAACTTCCCGGTAACACAAAATTATGTCACCGGAAAGCAAAGGGACTATCTGTATAGAGTGAAATATGATATGACACGTGGTCGTCTAAAAGGAGGACACGTGGAACCCAAGACAGGGATGGCCGAAGACCGAACACAACCATTCCTCTTGCCACAAAAAAAGATAACGTTCATAAAGGTGTGATACATGCTCTGCGTCCGGTAGCATTTAATAGGGAATATTTTGTAGCATTAAGGGCAACGATCTATTACAGAGAATTTAGCATTTATATTCACCGTTACGTCTTCATCAATGACCCTCATAATTGACATTAAAGGAAGATACGATCCTAGGATCTCCTTCCCTAAACATAGCTATAAATAGTGAGCTCAGTTATCATTGTAAGGGGACGAATTTTCTCGCAAAACTTATACTATATTCTATATAAAGCTTAATACAATCTTATTTTCTTGCTCTTTGATCTCATCATTGCTGTGCCCGGAAACCTTGTTCCCGGAACTGTCACCTCTGATGTTTCATCTACATTTCAAGGCTAAGTATTATACATTTCTTCCATTATTGCAATATTTTAGGATCAAATTAGTTCACTTGTCTAGAAACCACATACAATTCAACTGTACTGTTTTACGGGTATACAAAAATAGGAAGAAAGATTCACATAAATGTGCTTGCTATAAGCCAAACGATTCAGATCCCCACTAAAGATACATATGTAAATCAACACCAAAGAAACAACAAAAACATAACGAATTAATTAACGTAATAAAAAATAGAGTAGAAAGAACGAATGCTTAACCTCAACAAGTATGCAATAATGCAAATAGTCAAAATTATGTTGTGTGCTTTACACAAGGTAGCCGTGAAGTTTTTCTTTGTGAGGTTTTAGGATTTGTTTCGAATGAATCTAATAACAAAGAAAAAGACTCGAAATCCTAAAAACGTGATTTTCTTGTGTTATATATTGTTACTTTTCTTTTGCAAATATGGTATATTAGATAGTTCAAATAAGAAAAAATTTAATATGTTGATTTTGAATTTCTAAATATCAGAAGAATAATTAAATGATTATTCATAAATATTAGGAAGAATAATTAAATGACTATTTTATTCAATGTGAACTCCATTATAAGAGGGTAAAGAAGGCAAACGACTTTTCATTAAGGCTAGTATAGATAGTTTAAACATTTTTTAATTATCAAAAAGTGTAATCTATCACTATATCTTTTATCTAGTTTCTAATAGTATAATCTGTATCTGAAGAAAATAAAAGTTGATATTCCAGTTGAGATCGAAAATTAGAAGAATGAAACCATGCTATGAACTTCTGTCTTTTTAAAAAATGTGATTATTATTATTATTATTATTATTATTATTATTATTATTATTATTTTAATTTAATTAGAAACATGGAGATGACATTAGAAAAACTGACAGCCAAACAAGTCAGAATTGAGCATAAACTTTTTGAGGCGTAAAATTAATCAAAAGGAACCGATAACTTGTTATCACCGGTGATATTTGTTTTCTTTTAAAGAAAATTCTTTTGTCCTTATGAACTGTAATTACCGGTTATAGGTTCACCTAATAATGGAAGGATCAAAGGGCTTTCTATAATGCAGCTTCTTATCTTCATCCACAAAAATCCCCCATATAAATAGGAGTGTACCTCCCCTCCATTTTCTTCATTCTTTTCGTCAATGTTAGTTTAACTTATTTTCATATTAGCCCCTCTAGTTCATCTAAATTACGCTTCGACCACTCTGGTTATGTTCGCCGCCGTTCACCGGGAAACTGAGAGCCACCTCTCTGTGCCTGCTCTCGGCTTCCCTAGCCCCAGATTCTTCCTCTACCGCCGCCTCGGTTAACCAAAAAACAAAATCAACAAAAAAATCTATACTTACGTATAAATATATAGTACGATATATTCAAACGATACGATAATGCCTTCTCCGAGAAATCACCGGAAAGGTACTGACGAGAAGAATCGAAAAGGAAAGTTATCGGAGAAATCAATGTCGTTTCACGGACAGAGCTCGGAGAGCACAACGCAGTTGCTGCGAAGGCCACGAACAGTACCGGATTTGCTCTCCGCCGGTAGACTTGCCGCCGGAACCTCGCCGGAAGTGAAGGACCGGCTGAAGTTGACGAAGTTACTGTTAAATGTAACGATTCAGAGGAGTCTCGGTGCTGTGCATGTTTTAATATCGCTCGAATCGACGGTTGAGGACCTTATCGCCGCCGCTATCCGACAGTACACGAAGGAAGGACGGCGGCCGGTACTTACCTCCGGCAATCCTACCGATTACGATCTTCATTACTCGCAGTTTAGCTTAGAAAGTGAGTAAGAGCCGTTTGATTGAATGTGTGTAAATCTGAACAGTAATTCTACTGCTTTTGATTGGATAACAAAACTAATTAGTATTTTCATTTCTTTGAATGGTGGGATCCAGGTTTGAACAGAGAGGAGAAGCTGATGGGATTAGGTTCAAGGAATTTCTTTTTGTGCCCAAAGAAGTCAAATGCCGAAAGTGCTGGTGCTGTAACGACGTCGTCTTCTAGTTCTAGCTGTGCAAAGCAAGCTGATACGGCTACTGCTAGTGCTACCAAGATAGCCTTGCCTTGGCTTAAATTCATGGATTTCTTGCGCTAGAAGTTCGAGATTATTGTATACAACATATTATACTATAGATGAAAGTTAGGGAGGTGATTAATTAAGATTTAAGACCACCTCAAAATTTAGAATAATGTTTACCTATTAGATTTAAAATCTTTATATGTTTGCACATTACATGCCTGTTTAAGGTCAACTATTTTCCTATCGACCTTGATGTTGCAGTATGGTACCATCTTAGGACCAGTGGCAAACCAGGATTTTCAGGTCAAAATATTAAAAAAGTAAGTCCACGAAAAAGCAAATAAGTGTTAATATATAATGTATATACATTAAGAAAATACTCAGTTATACGACTGACCTTGAATACATTTGGCTTCGCTACTTCTGGAGATAAATTCAATAAGTTTATCAAGAATTGTCAGAAAACTCAGACATAAGACTCTGACTTTTAATTTTTGTTTCTCGTTCTTATTGGTTTCGAGCTATTAGTTGAATTATTTTTTTGATTTCATTCTTTTATCCATTTAATTCACAATCACAAAAGAAGGAAGGGCCTCTAGTCTATTAGCATCTCCAATAGTAGGTAAAATGAAACAGTGCAATAGTAAACTGGTGCTTATGAATTGGCATTGAAATGTTGGTGTCCATTGATACCTTGCGTTAGCTAGTGGCTGAAAGTCTACCAAATTTGACTCATTTTATGGCTGTGCATGCTATTTGGACTCTAATAGAAAGGAGAGTATAGTATAATAAAACAAAGAAAAAACCTGCGCCATGTTTCAATCAGGGCCAAATGTATAAACACACGGAAACTTCCACAAGGTGACAAGAATGCGTAAAGACTTGCACAAAATTAAATCAGTAGAATATCAAGAAAAGAGAACACGAGTAGAGTTGTCAGCCATTTAATTATGAAAAAAGATGTAATTATAAATATCTTTTAGGAACTTTTAAGTTTTTTGTTTAATATCAAATCAAATTAAATATTATTAATCTTCTAAAATATAATATTGACCCGAGAATAAATCGGATGATGAAATCGATTTGGTTTGATATTTGATTTGGCACAATTTTTCAGTTTTCTTGATTATACCTACAAACAATTTGGAAATTATAGTGCAAATGAACATCGCTAGTAATCCAGTGACTTGCTCAAGATAGTATTTCGAAAAACGTCTTTGGCTCTCGCTTAATTAAGACATATGTGGAATTGTGGATGGAAGATGAATGCTTGAGCTTCTGTGTATAGACTGGCCAAGCTTTTCCGAGACCAAAAATAATTTTATTTAAAAAAGGTGCATTTTTTTCCTCAAAGTTTTGGTGTGCCAAGTTTTAGAAGAAAAAAAATGGTTTTGACTAAAAGCTGAAGTAATTTTTGAAAAGCAAAAAAAAAAAAAATTATATAGTTTCTCGTCAAAATTAATTAGAAGAAAAAGATGTGCTTAGAAGTACTTTTCAAATTACTTAACCAAATATAACTTGCTTTTCACTAAAAATATTTTTTTTAATTAGCACTATTAAAAAAAGCACTTTTCAAAATAAGTTGATTATAAAAGCTTGATCAAACAGGCTAGTAGTCTCTTTAATTGTGTGTGAAGTTCCTTAGACAGCCTTATTTTCTTCAAGCTTGCTTACTTCATTCTAAATTCCTTTTCATTTCTAAATCATAAGTTTGCGAAAATTGCAACTTCAAAATTAGAACCTTGGAAACTACTAAGGACCTGTTTGACCATACAAAAATATTCTTTTATTTTCAAAAATGTGTTTGTCCATGAAATTTTATAAATTTTTGAAAATTTTTTAAAAATGAGTTTTTCAAAAACCCAAAAGTGTTTTTGACCACTTTTTCAAAAAATTCAATTCTTTTTTTCTCACTCACAAAATTATAATATTTTTTCAAGTGAATTGCATGTCCAAACATAATTTCAAATTCCAAATACTATTTTTCAACTTAACTCCAAATACTACTTTTTTTTATAAAAAAAAATATTTATGTCCAAACGCCTACTAATACTGTGCAGGTGAATTTTGTTGGAAAATTTCATCTGAAAATGAGTAGTTGATCGTTGTGTCTTCACTTGTGCTCAGACTTCATGTTTACATTTATCTATCTTTTTCTCACCAGATTTTATTTTCTTATTCGCTCGTTTAGGATCAGGCACACTAGGAACACAATGCATTAATGGAGATAAGAGGTTTAATTTCTTGAGAAATATGTATTTTTAGCCGTTCCTAAAAATAATAATTTATNTTCTATGAATAAAGGTTAATCTTAACTAACAATAATATCCTTAGATGTGACTTTTTAAAGAAGCAATAAATATCGTGTGGATCCGGTCGGATAGTGGTAATATCATATAATAAATGTTCTGAGAATCAGGATCAATAATATAACATTCAATAATAATGAACATCAATAAATGACATTTAAGTAAATATGAGGAATGATTCACCCAATAAAGGATGGAATAAGTGGATCTTTCTTCTGACAATGAGTGATAGACAAATCTTAGAATATTCTAGTTATTCTCAGATCTGATGAAAAAATATGAACAAGAATCTCAGTGAAAGGTGATATTTGTTTCTTAGCAAGTGAGAGTCGAATCTTTTTGTCAAACTGTGTTCTTTACAATTACAAATGAATATCACATGCCCCCTCTCATTTTATCTTTTCCTATTTATATGGGATATGTTTCTAAAAAATCATAATAGTACAAGTGCAGAGAATATCCACCAGAATATTCTCTTTAATATTCTATCTTAAAAACTAGCCGTTACAGCTCTGTCAACGGTACTCGACCTCGACCATTGTTGATACCTTGTCTGCGGCTCTCGTTGACTCTTCGACCACAGATTTCGCTGTTTCTTGGGCCATCTCGACAAGCGACGACTTGAAAACTTTTCCCTCAGTATTATCTTGGCTTAAATATTCCAAAGACATATTTTGACCCATACAATATACTTTTTAGTTAGCGAACCATTTAGTTTTGGCAAATTGCAGGCACAAGGCTTCGATCTGTCCCGAAAGCAAGTTCCCCTCTTTTCCACGTTGCAATCAAATAATTAATGTCGTGGCGTGTTAAATTAATTATTACTGTTTACCCAAAAAATCAGATAACGTTAAATTTATGTATGGTTCTAAGGATACGTGATACCCTTTGATACAAAGATAGCAATACGAGTATTCTTGACTATGAGAATAGGAATGATGAACAGAAAGAATGAGTAAGATCAAGTAAAACAAGCACAAGGAGATATCTTTGTATGAGAAAAGATCTTTTTTTTCAGTCTATTCAGTATATGCATAGATTACAAGTACCCCCTTTTATAATAGAGGGTCATTACTTTATTTATAACAAAATAATAAAATAAAGTATGTAGTGGAAGACCCATGATGATTTATCTCTTCCTCAATTCCCGACAAGATTCTCTCTCTTGGTGCGGTTGTAACGGCTCTTGTCTGTGAGCTCGATACTGGATCGAACTTGTTACTGGGTCGGCCCTTTGGTCTTGGCTTGAATTCGACTTTCGGGATAGTCGTGGCGCATTTCCGGCCTCGAAGCAATGCCTTACGGATCGATTTGGTCACGGACTCGATAAGATTATCGAGCCATTCCTAGAGCAGCTTTCGGACTCGAGGCTCGTTTGTACTGTCTTCGGAGCTCACTCCCAAAATTCTACTCCGGTTTCTTGTCACTCGAACTCGATCAAACGTAGGATGGTCAAAATCTATTTTGACCGTATACAGATAGTCCCCTCGATTCTCATGAAGGATGCGGTGAGAATCGATATGATTTTTGACAGTTCGATCGGGTTATAAGTTGACGTTTTAACAGGGATCGATTATGACGTATGTGATAATTGTCCCATCGATTTAGTCTTTCAAGGTATTTAATGCTTGTCAGATGGCGGTCGGCCACCTCTGTTATTGAACCGTCATGATGCGAGCCTATAAATAACCCTTCTATCTAACATTTACCATTTTTACGCCTTCACTCTTCCAAACTTTCTTATTTTTTCTCTCTATTTCTTCGCTTGCAGAGCCATCTACACCAGAGTTTTGGTGCCGTAAATTTTTCACTTTCCTTTGCCTTTCTTCCTCTCATATCAATGGCCAAAACATCGAAAACTGTACCTCAGAAGGAGAAAGCTTCTTCTTCACGGCCGTCCGGCGATAAGGCACCGGTGGAGCCGTCCATCCATGACTATGTTCCCGGCCCGTGTACTCTGAAGATTGATTTTAAGGTCGAGAATCCTTCATCTATTCCGAGTTGATGTGAGCACGTGTCGATGTACATGTGCTCTATAACGGAGGATCATCTCGAGGCCGTTAGGAAAGACTGCAACTGGGGTTTCGAGGTTGTGTTACAAATTCCATCCCCCGAAGAGAGCGTCATCACCCATGTGGAGATGTTTTAAAGTGTTTACACTTATCCCTTCACGTTGGGTCCCGTCGACCCGGTAATCATTGATTTTTGCAAAAGATATCAGTTCACCCTCAGTCTAATTCATCCCTCTCTATGGCGTATAGTAATCCTACTTCGCTTTTTCTCCATCAAAGCCGGGGGCTGGATTTTTCCCTGAATCACCTCATACGATTGTATCGGCCTCAAATCTTTCGAGGATTAATTAGACTTCATTGTCGAGCATCGAAGTCTTTGATGTCGAGCACCGACGAAGACAAGGATCGGGGTTGGATGGGCCGTTATATTCGGGTGAGGACCCGTGACCTTATTCCGGAAGAGAAGATGCCATTCCCCGAGGAATGGAATTTTGACTGTAAGTGGTTCTCAAAAGACGTTGCTTTTCGTATCTTTTTCCGATTTTTTATGATGTCTTTCTCCGATATACAGCTGCCCCTTGGATGCCACAAGCGGTACCCGATCTCGAGGATTGGGTTCGGAAGTTAGCCTCGACTTCCTCTTATGCCAAACGCGCTTGGCGTGATTTGGCAAAAGGTAGATGGGAGGCCAAGAATCATGGTAAGGTTTTACTTCTCATTTCCTTCGAAGTGTTCTTTGTGCTCCATTTGTTACCGATTTCCTTTCATGCAGGTGTAACCAAGGATGCCGCTTTGAGGCCTTCGAGCGGTGAAGAAGGAACCAAGTCCCTAGTCCCGAAACCGGGGAAAGATAAGAAGCGAAAAGCCGCCTCTCGGTTAGAGGACCCCAAGCCCAAAACTTGAAGGGTGAGGAGGAAGGCAATTGCTCTTCCGATTAACTCGGTCCAACGACTGAGAGAAGAAGAAAAAGAAGAAGACGATGCCTCGGCTTTGGTGCTCCGATCTGCGAAAGCTATCGAGGTCACCAAAGCTCCTAAGCCGATGGCGGATGTACCGGTCGGGGTCGGTCCTGGAATCCCGAGTCTTGATCGGAGCACCC